GAATTTTTCCCGCTTTTACGCTGAAGATTAGAATTAATTGCAACAAGCATGAGTATAAATAAGAATTATTTCGTAAGATTTTCTAATTGGATGAAAAAATGGCCCAGGATATGAGTACAACTTTCATTCATATATGCATGAAAACCGCAATATATAATATATATTCATATATATATTTATTCATACATTTCGGCAGAGAATGAAGTAAGCCACACGCGGCACGAAGAATTCCCGAAGCTGCTTACCTAACCTAAAAAGTTAGGTTAACGGCTTCGGCTTCTAGTGTAGCTACAAGGAAAACAATTACTCACAGGTTGATATCTAGGAAATACGAAAAGAATAAAACTAGAATAAAATGAAGATAAAATAACGTGGAAAAACAAAAAGGCTCGGAACTTTACACAAAATCCCAAGTCCTGTCTTAAACCAGTTTCCAGTCTGCCCAGCTTTGTCAAAAACTATCAATCTTGGATTTATCTACTAATGAAATCAAAGTTCTTTCAAAGGGCCTAAAATCTATCCGACAACCAAATAAACTAACGTTTTCTGACTAAACCACTACACTAACCGAACTCAGAAGAAGCATGAACCAGCTGGCTTACTTTAAAACAGTAACAGAGACGCAATACCATTGGTAACGATGTCAAACTGGAATCCGCCGGTAGGTGAAAACATGCCGCTAAGGAAGTAATTTACCATGACTAAATGTGATTTAAAGAAGTTACAAGCCCAGAAAGCTACAAATAATTTCTCCCACAGGGAGAGGATTGCACTGAGGTCTCTACAAAACAATCAAAACACAGATAGCAAACCAGCGGATAAAGGACGCGCAGTCGCCATTGTAAACCGGAAAGACCCAGTCATAATTTGAAGCAGTGTAGAAGCCGAGCTGGCGCCGAATCAAGAGCATGTTATTAGCAGGATCGGAGCAGGGAATCAGCAGGCATTGTAGCAGCCCGACTTTCTGACTGCCGGTCTCTCTCATCTTTCCTCTCCGACGCCTTACTCGGAGCTGGAATTGGACCTGACCCTGGTTCGGCTCACTCTTGATTAAGCCGCCTACCACAGCGGGCGTGACTGCTTGCGGTCGCAGTGTGGCAGCATGTAGATCTGGCTCTTTATTCTACTACCGGCTCGGCTGCTCATTGTTGATACATGGGTTGGTTACTAAACCATATCCACCTACGGTCATGGGCGGGTGCGGCTACCTGGAGGATACTCAAGAGAACCAGCCTCAACGATGAACCGTTTGCCGACCCCGTACTTCGCCTGGACCTTGCTTTAAGAGTAATTATGACTTTCTGATTTGTGACTGGAACGCCGTATCCATGGAATCCAGTTCCGTTGCGTTCGTTGCCGACATCAGCTCTCGTAACCAAATATTCGGGCGGGAACAGGAGACTTGTCGGAGTTCGATAGCCGACAGGTGTAGTCTATGGAACGTGCCCAAATGAGTCTACCACCGATGCTATCATTCATCGTTAACGATGTGATTTCTGTGCAAGTGTAAGATGTACCTGTATTGTGAACTAGCCGAATGTATTATGTGAATAATGTGAACTGTGAATATTAGTTCTGCATTCACTTCGAACTATACTGTTATTGTCTTTGCCTGTAAAAATCAGGTCCCGCAGCCAGATGGTTGGGCAGAGACGTTTATTGTAGAAAAACGCGGTTTGAGTAATTGTGTGGAGTTTCCGAAGAATAAGCCCTTCAACCCACCAGAGGTGCCGTCGTTGACTGATGAATTACTTAGTTTGTACTGAAATGAAGCCAGGTTGTCTGAGCTAGTTCGGGACATGTCACATATGACGTATCTTATGTGATGAATTTCCCTATCATGGAGTTAAACTGCGACCTATATTTTTGACGTTGACATTCGCCATTGCGACCAGCGTTTACACTCATTGTCATGCGTTTGTGAACAAATATTGCTCCAGAAAATGTTTCGGATGGTGAATGTTCAACAATAACTGCCAGCAGACGGTGTCCTCCGTGATGTATTAGAAGAGGTTTTTGGACAGCAAGTTATCGTTGCCCGGGGTTAGTTTGAGAACTTATGTTGGATTCTAGGTTGGGGTTTTTGTGTACAAGTAAAAACGTAGGTATATATTGTGCAATAGGCATTACTGAATGGGTGTCATGAGTAGTGTAGTTTTAGCTGGCTGGGTATGGGTTTTGAAGCTCGCGGTTCAGAGCATTTTTTAAGCTATCGTAATAAAGGTTTACAACTCTGATTTTACCAACATTCACTGATTTTTTCCCCAATTGCGTTGATAATTCTACTATCCCGTTGGGGTAGCAAAGTATGTTGCACCTCTACCGCAACAGCATGATCGCTTATTAATTAGGATTTCAAAAGGGTCTGCGTAATTAAGGCGCTAGCGTCCGGCTGCAGTGTCCAGCCGTGCTCTGGCTTACTTACTGCCGACACGCCCATATACTGCCCTATACTTGCTCTTTTCAGGCTTTTTCTAGGCATAGCTGAAAAATTTCGTCAACGTAAGTAAACGTTTATTTGATTTTTTTACACATTTACATAAGCTTTACAAAATAAGAGATGAATTGACTGAAACACAGCTTAGACTTAGAGTATGACGCTACTGGCTTCAAACTCTATGCATCATTTATAATCTCAATCGTCTGCAATAACACATTTAGAAACCTAATTTAATATTCTAGCACAACTATTTCTGACAAAAAATTATCAACATGGTAAAGGGAGCTACGGCAAAAAAAATTTTTATTCACGGACATTTCAATTCGAAATAGTACATCTATAAGAAATATAAATCTAAGACTTTTTTGTTCGTGTAAATTTTTCTAAAAAATTAAAGAAACCTTGAAATTCATAGAAAACGGCAAAAAGGGGTACTGCGAAAATCTCCTCATGCAATTAACATGTTACAACATCGAGAGACATATCATTCGATTCGGAACGACCATATCTAACGATCATCCGATCACTTATTCCATTTTATAATTTCTTTTATTTAGTGATTTTTCTGATTTTTTTTTTACTTTTTTCCCTCCCCCCATTTTTTCAATTCATAATCCAAGCAAAAAAGAAATCAGAAAAATTGATCGGATGATCGGCTAGATCAGGTCTTTAGGAATCGGTTGGTGTAGCTCATAATGCTGTAGCTTAAAAATCATAGGAGGAGATAGACGAGTTCTGTTCTAACCGTTGAGGCAAGAGGTTCTTTGTGCTGAGCCCCCGTGCAAGTAGCCGGCTTCGGCCGGCTGCTACGTCATCTTTCTGGAACTATCTTTCTCGAACTTTGAAAATGCCGTGCTGTCCCGCTCCGAGGCGTTGAGCCGGCGAATGGTACGACCATCTAAAGTGAAGTTGAACTCCTGAACACCTATAAATGCTCCCGGCATCTAACTGCAAAATTCGTTACAAAGATTTTAAGATGCCTCCAAGTGTGGTTAGTGCCCCCGGGTTTGTGGTTAGTGCCCCCAGGTGAGTGGTTAGTGCCCCCATGTGAATGGTTAGTGAGGCTTTCTACCCTGGAGTGGTGCTCTCTGCCCCGGTGTGGTCTCCACTTTGGTAGCCCCGTTCTGTAGCCTTTCAGCCATTGAGAAATCTTGTGTTTTTTTTTCAAGACACCCAATTTTGTACATGAAAAAAAAATTCAGTCAAATTCCTTGAACTGTTCTGACATGGGACTGCATTGAACCAGTCTTCAGAGGCTCCCATAAATTCTAATTAAAGAAAAGGAGATAGACATTTACGATGAAAATACAAAGTTTTCAGGAGAGCCAAAAAAGTGAAATTTGTGATCATTGAAGGTATTGGTCGACCCAGAGAGCGCACTTGCTAGTCAGTCTTGGCCTCGGAAGCAAGCTTATCTTGGGTCGCCTGCCGAAGACCACCACTGCCCTGGATGTAATGGACCATCATGATTCCTGCCCTCCGGAACGTAGCCTTCGACACTTCAAGCCGTCCGTATCTAGGCCGTGCGTCGAACCAGCCCTCGGTCGAACGGCCACTTGTCGAAGGACGATAAATTTTGGAACAGAACTATGCTATCTGAAACCTAACCTCAGATGCGGTGAACGTAAAATTACGTAATTTAGCGATGCCCGGAAGTCCTATTCGATTCGCGGCCTGGTGGTGCACTGGAGGTTCTATGCAAGGCCGGAGGAGGACGAAGCCGAGTGGTTCACGGCTGATTGGTGGATGTCCAGAGAGATCCAAGGCGTTCGATTCAGGGCTTATTGGTGCACAAAATTGGTGGCGCACGGCTGCGCTCCCCTTATCTTCAATATCTTGTAGCCATACCATACCGTCGAGCTGTGGCCGGAAGCTCAGACAACTTGCGCTTCGACGGCTGTCGTGAACGAACACATTAACGCACAAATATGGCTTTGGGCTCTTTAAATGCGCAGTTCTTATAACTTTAAATGAGCCTAATAACCGGAAAATTCTAAATTCTCAATTTTCGCTGTACATGCTCCCCTATTAGGACATTGAATACACATCAAGAATGAAAGAGGCAGAGCAAAGCGTAAAAACAGGATATACATGATGCAGAAGTCTTCATTGACAAATAATATAAACGAAATTAAACCATGTGCTTTCTTCTTTCTTAACTCCAAAATTCACAAAACAGAGATGCAAGAATATCTATCGATTCTGCATGCATTTGATACACTCTCAATTTCCTAAAAATTGGTGCCCTGAAAACTGATTTTAAGGCGTAAATTCCAGCGCTTGCATATTCTCTGGCTTCAAAAAAATAAAAATTCCATAATTCCTTTTAATGTGGACGTTAATGGCAGTTACTTCTCTATTAAGGGCCACATGTATTACATGCCGGTAACCAGGCAACACACTGCACTGCAAGCATGACGACCCAGAGGCCGCACTTGCCAGTCAGCCTTGGCCTCGCGAGCAAGCTTATCTAGCAGCCATACCGTCGAGCTGTGGCCGGAAGTTCAGAAGTAGTCGTGACATCTCTAATTCATCAATCATTTAATCATAATTCACATTACAGACTTGATTCAATAGAGGTAAGTTAATTTCTGCATTTTATTAATCTTTGGTTTCGGAGCTAATAGGCGATATTATCAGATTTCTTCCATTAGCCGGCTCAGTTGAAGTCTCAATGCTGACTTGCGATGGTAAAATTGGATCGACTTGTAAAAATTATTCATGTAAAATGAGCCAATTTCTACCTTAAATTACTAAAAGAATTTGTTGAATTTAAATATTATGTATCACTGTGAGTAGCAATAAGGCTTCGGTTCAGGGCTCAGATACCGAGACGCTCTGCTTAAATGTCCTGCTTCTACCACTGAAAATGAAGTTATGGTTCTGAAATGTTCTGCTTGCTTTCAAAAATTGGAATACAATTCATTTTAATCAATCCTATGCGTCATATCGTACCAATTCCGGGCTCGGGAGTCATGATCATGTTTTGAGATCAAGTATAGTAGTTGTTTCGGCAATGGTTTCCAAGGCATTTCCTTTGTGACAAATTTTGAAATGTATTTACTTGCTATACAATGCTTACGTGTGCCCTGAACAAGCTTCCTCTTGCGAAGCGCTATTCCATAACAAACTCTCTATTTGAAGTAATTAACTGTGAAAGCGTGTACTACATATTAAATAGATCTCGAAGTAATCAAGCTATTTTATTGGTATTTTTAACAAAGGGAATATTTTAGACCTTGGCATAAAATTAAATGTTCCGACCCATTCAACCAAAATAACTGACGTCGGGAACTAAGTAATTGTGAGGTTTGACTTGAATACGCATTCCTTATATTTTTTGACGATATTACATGTAAATATAACTACATATTACTGTGATAATTACAGTAAAGTACACATTAGACTAGACTAGTTTTTAATGTAATTAGTTGGGAATCGAATTGTTGCATTTGTTACTATTAACTGATAAGTTAAAAAACGCTCTTTCACTGAATAAATTTTACTTAATTCTGCCAATAAATTGTTTCCGTGTTATAATCTAAAGGCGTTCTGCTTAGTTTTTTTGCATAAATGGAATATTATAGGTAAGTATAAGTAATTATATAAAAGATTTACAATATTAAAGCCTTTATATTATAGGCCTGATCATTGCAACATACGTTAATCGCTTACGTTTGTTGCTCCAATACCACGTTTACTAATGATCAAACACTAAATAATATCCAGTCGGTGCTGGTAAGAACTCGTTTGGTTTTAGAGATTTATTTTGGTGGAAAAACCGTAATTCTTTCCTACAAAAATGGTTTCACGTAAGAATTATTACAGAGGCGTTGCCTCCCAAGCCTGCCGTCGTCCATGCTATCGCCTCACAGATGTTACTAGACTTAAAAATTAAATACTTTGTGAGCAGACAAGTCTTTGCGTTCTTGCTCAACAGTAATGCAATGATGGAGCACAAAAAATTATCAACGTCAACGATTGCTGGAATCGCAAATTTTCTAACAAATAAAATGAATAAATCACAAAAATGCACCATATCTTAGGAGGTAACGTTACGGAGTCCAGTTCCATCGTCTGGACGAAAATTTTATAATGCATATACAATCAGTTGTTAGTACAGTGAAAATAAAAAAAAAAACAGAAAATAAAACTATATCTACAAATGAAATACAATGCTTGAAAAGAGGCATAACATATCATTTTACAATTTCAAGTGGTTAAGAGTTAAAGGCTGTATTCAAACATGACCTCTGTTTAAAAATATACAAGGATTCAAAAATGTGCAAATCGGAAGGGAAAGCAAAAATTTTTAAGTCACTATCGTATGTGGGCACGTTACACTGCTCGGCGTAAGTGCGCACAACCGAATTAAGAAGACGCGCTAGTAAGTGCTCAGTCCTAAAACTACTTCCATTATGCTCCGCCAGTCTAGAATGAATTTTGCGTTACGTCACACCAACGTACGCAGATGCGTGTAGTCGACTCTATCCACAAAAATGTCTGTAATTTGAAGTGGAAGGATTTGGGACAGTTACGGTTCCCACATCGGTCAGAGTTATGGAGCTTATGATAAGTAATTTTGTGTTTTTAGGAAAAAATTATCGTTGGAACGAAAATTTTAGGCAGAAACCATTAACATGAGCATTTATTGCATCGCATAACGAAGGAGAATGATAAAAAATACGCGTGTCTGACCTTAGAAGCCTTGTTTTTCACGGCCTTTTTTACATTTACAATTAATATGGAATGCAACGCATATTCAGATTGAAATATGTCAAGTTCATCAAGTAATTGATTCAAATCACTGTTGTCTGAACCAATAATTGTTCTATTCACCAATTTATCAGAAGAATCGAATGCTAAGTTAAATTAACAATCGCCAAAATCATTTTGCTTGCAAAATAATTAGTTTTTCTGACTCGCACGCTAAGTTGGAATTAGTATCATAGTGACGACGATCTATTCTGCGAAATAATACAACTCTTTTAAGTAGTCCCGTAAAATCACTGCGGAACGCAAGTGAACTTCTGAGTGGACTTTCCTTGTAATTTGCCGCTGCTCAAAGTGGTTGCAATCAGTGTATTCGCATGGCTATGAAAATAACTGAATTGATAAAGTTCCTATAGCAGGTTTCAGCAGTCAATGCATTTGAATCGTTTGCTGATCTAAAGTGAAGTATAGATATTATCATGAATAAAGAGTAATAATAACATAATTTAGTCGATAATTGCTCTTGAAGGTAAAGTGTGGTTGCCAATTCGGAGCACTAATTAATGGATCTAGAACCAAATACGTCGAGAAAATACTACACAGTTTCAATTTTGAATAAAGCTCACGCAATAAGATACACGCCCAAGATAATATCGAACCACGAACAATATTTGCAATTGTTAGAAGCTTAGCTTTGTTTCCATCTTTGTTTACGTTGATACTCCATGGCAGCGGTGTGCAGTCGTGCTACATGAGTTACGACTTCCCGAACTTTTAGTTCGTAATGCCCAAGCATTCGTGAAGTTAATCTGTCGATAAATAGTTATCACTACAATTACTCTGTGTAGTGTCTTTGATATCATGCACATGCAAAAATTCCACTGAACTTTCCAATTGCTTCAATTTGTTCCTTGGGCCACAAGTACCCGCTGAATATGCTGCAGCTTTGACCCTCAGCGGTCATGTTCACTGCAGCCTGAAATAAGCGTCGATCGAACCGCATAGCAAATAATTCATCTAACGAACAATTTTGCTATACGACCCAACCTCCTTAGTAATATTTCATTTTGTCTTCTTTTGAGATTGAGATTCTTCTGATTGATTTCGCGAGTAGGTAGCATTCAGGGTGAGGGCATTGCGGAATGTTTAAAAAATGTTTTGATCAACATTTTATCAATAATTAATAAAAAATTGCTTTGCAAAAACAATTGGGGTCATCANAACATAGCGCTAAAAAACTAGTCGGAAAATATTTTTATGAAGTATTTTGTCTCGCGGTCTCGCCAAGAGTTGCGATGCAGCAATCAGGCTCGGCATCAGCATTTTGGCAAGACTGCGACCTTGCCGCGCGCATCAAGCTATCAGGGGTATCTTGAGTTAGGAGCCTTGAAGAAAAGCGTCGTGTTTTGAAGTGTATTTGTAAATCAATATTGATGCTGTCTCTTATACACATCTAGATGTGTATAAGAGACAGGGTGAATAATACCATAATAATTACATAGAGCCATGTAATTATTATGGTATTACTCACCTGTCCAATCAATAAGGTGCCTGTGAAGCGCAGTGCCGTACGAACGACACCTGCACGGCCGTGACTTACGATGCCGTGAGCGACGTCTGCTTCCTCAGCAACGCAACTGGGAGCTCCTTGACGACGCGGCACCTGCTCGAGGCGGTCACCTACACCAAGTTCTGTTAGTGAAATTAGCGCATTTTCACTTAATCACAGTTGTGAGAATGAGATTACGTTACGGTATATCATCATTTAATAAGATACTTTCCTCTAGTAGCTGGCTTTTTGCAGTGTACGTTCCCGCTCCAACCGATATATTCATTGCGAGCACATGGCCAACGAACGGGAATCGCTCCAATCAGGTGAAGATCTGCGCATGGAGAACGGAATCCCACTCATCATCCGCACGACATCGGAGCTGGAAACTGCGAAGACGCTAATTAATGGTTGGTAGAATTTTTAGGAGAGCTGATAAGTTTTTTGAGTTTCGTTATAAATTTAGAAATGAAGTGAAACACTTCAACATTACGAAGCGTTAAAAAAACCGGTGTTGTTAATAAGAAATGGAAAAACTGGTGTTGATAAAAAAATTATCAATGTACAGCATTGGATATTTACGAAGCAATGAACACCAAATACTAGTTCCAGCGAAAACCAATGACCAAAAACGCGTTTTATTGCTGTAAAAGACACGTTTTTCATCTATACAAGTCCCAGAAAATTTTCTTGCCTTCATAAGGTATTCATTCAATTTTGCAGGTCACGGACACTCAGGAATTGCTGGACATTACGCATTCATGTCGGCCCGTGATGAGGAAGGCAACGGCGATCTCGTGTGGCCCGACGGAACCAAAGTCTTTGGCTCGGTCTTCTCACCAGCGTCCGTATTGACGCATCGTTTTTTTCCTCCTCTTCCCCCTTCAGGTCCTGCCATGGTGCTCATTGAGAATGGTCAAATTGAACCAAACCTTGACGAAAAAGGTGTAAACACTCCAATTCTTTGTTCAAAAAATAATTGATTGATTGAAGGAAGGCAGAAACGTTACGGCAGCGAAATTAAAAATGAAGGGAAAGGATGTATATAACTTGAATGTGATCATGCATCAGCTGTTTAACTGGATGGTCCTTGAAAAATGTTAAATATAGGCGAGTTACGACGAGTTGCATCTCAATTCAAATAGAAGACAGATTTTCAGGAAAATAACGAACTGATTTTCAGGAAAATAATGAAGAAACGAACGAACTGAGTGTTCAAATTTAAAACCCAGACTGGAAAATGCCGGTATAGTGACAACCGCGTCTTTCACTCTTTTCAATTCAAAGGGGTGGATTTCTGGTCACATGTCCATTTTG